AGTGCAGAGGAGAGTATACATACATATTTGTGGCGTGTCTAGTATAGTTTGCGTTTGGGTGAATAGAGTGGGTTGGATAACGTGGAGATTAGAAGAGAGAGTTTAAGTTTCTTTAACTGTCTAGCGGGCGGTTAACTTTAATTGGGTGGACCTGTACCGTTGTAGTGCAATTCATTATTAAATGGTCGTGTTTTCTTGTGCAGAACCTAGGTCTAGCCTGGTATCTAATCGACACGGATTAAAAATCAGTTAACGATTGAGTGGTCTGTGTCTTGTGTCTCGCGGTGAAGTTATGTAGGGTTCCTTAAAAAAAAAAAAAAAAAAAAAAAAAAAAAATCACACACGTAACAATATGGACCATCTAGGGATAAAATGTTAATTCGTATCTTACCAAGCATAGCCTGATTGGATGGGCACAATACGGCCAACCGCTCTCGAGAAAGAGGGAAAACAATAACAAAAAAAAAGATCCTACATATAATAATATCCTCGTAATTTTATAAATGGAAGTTTATGTGTAAGTGATTCTTTGGCTTTGCGTTTGGGTTGAATACGTAAGTGGGTGATGATCATAACGGGTGTGTTTCTGTAGAAAGAGTTTAAGTGTTTTAATTGCTATCTTGGTGCTTATCATCACATACCTTTGTTCCACTCCGACAGTCAGTGTATGAGGAGGATTCTTTATCAGGGTTTATCGGATGAGAGATAATGAAGTATATTTGTGACCTGTGGTCCTGTTAGGTTTTTGCGTTTCGGTTAGTATCAGAGTGGTTGTCTACTCCTGAGAAAGAGGAGTAAATAGTGTTCTTTTTAACTGTGCTAGGGGTAGTAAAACTTATTGGGCTGGACCTGTCATTCTTGTAGTGCATGTGCGTTACTTGTATTTTTGAGTTCTTTGTCTTGAGGTTGTATTTGTGAAGTTTGCTTGGGTTTTTGGTATGGAGATATTTCTCACGCTCTGCTCCGCTCGAGCCACGCCTGCTAGTTCTGTTATGTTTCGTTGCGTTGCGGTTGATAGTACGAGTGGGGTTGTGAAAATGTGGTGTTTTCTGGGTGAAGAAGGAGTTATGTGTTTTTTAAAATGTGCTAGGGCGTTAACTTTATTGGATGGACCTTCTTTGTAGGTGCAGTGTTGCGTTACTTGTATTTAGGTGTTTCGTTTGTTCTTGAAGTTGTTTTCTGATTTGTTTGCATGGGAGTTATTTGGTCTGGAGACATTACATGTATTATTGTGAGCCCTGTCTATAACGTTGTTGCGTTTTTGGTTGAGTACGATGGTGTTGTGGTTTTGTGATAACCGAAGTGGTGTGTTTCTGGAGAAGAGGAGAGAACAGAAAAAATTGTGTTGTTTTCAGCTTGTGCTTAGGGTCGTCCGGTGGGTGAGAGGCGTCACTATTGTAAGTATGCGTGATTACAGGTTACTAGTTATTTTTGCGTTCTCATAATTAGATTCAGGAATTGTGTTTGTGTGGTTGGCTGTGAGTTAAGTTTGGAAATATTATGCAGTATGTTTGTGTGCATGTTTGCTGAGTCTAAAGTGCTCGTTAGGCAATAATTGCGTGTTGGGTTGTAATACTAAGTGGGTTGTGATAATGTGGGTTTGCTTCACAGAGGTGATTCATCTGATTGTAGTAATTATGTTCGTATGCATTTGTTTGTACTCTTGTTTGTTCGGTAAGTTGTATTTGTGTGCTTGTTTTGGGTTAGAGTGGAAGATAATTATACAGTATGTTTTTGTACCGCGTGGGGTCTGATGACGAGTACTGTTGTTTACATCGTATATACGTTGCTTGGATCAGTTTCTGTATTAGCTATCTTGTGTATGATTAAGAAATTTATCTGAACAATAATGGCTGTGTTGATAAGACTGCTATTTTGTAAATGTTATTTTATGTGTTTTTGTCTAACCTAATAGTTGTAAATTGTGGTGTATCTGGTCTTCTTGAGGGCTTACACCATAGCCTAGAATAATGGAGACTATAGACACAGAGATTTCTTCTCCATTGCGTTCTTCAGCTCTATAGCTATAGTCGTAGTATTTGCGGTGTTTTTCTTGCATGTGTTTT